GGGGGTTGATTACAATGAGATATTCTCTCCTGTGATAAAGTACAAAACAATCAGGTTGGTTCTTGCATTGGTTGTTCAGTACAACTGGGAACTGGAACAACTAGATGTCAAGACTACTTTCCTACATAGGGAATTGGAAGAGGATATTTACATAAATCAGCCTCAAGGTTTTGAGGTGAAAGGTAAAACAAACTGTGTGTGCAAATTAGAAAGATCTCTGTATGGGCTTAAACAAGGTCCTAGACAGTGGTACATAAGGTTCGATACCTATGTACTGAAGATAGGTTTTAAAAGGAGTGAATATGATGCATGCCTGTACTATAATGATAGTAAGGAGGGCTGTGAGGTCTACTTGTTGCTGTATGTAGATGACATGCTTCTAGCAAGTTCAAGTAAGACTGAAATCACTAAGATGAAGAACCTTTTAAAATCAGAATTTGATATGAAAAATTTGGGGAGTGCTAAGAAGATTTTGGGGATGGTTATAAAGAGAAATAGGGCTAAAAATAGACTAGTCATTTCCCAAGAAGCCTATCTAAACAAAGTCATAACTAAATTTGGTATGAATGGATCAAAATCTGTGAACGTTCCCTTAGCAGCCCACATGAATCTTTCCAGTGCACAATCTCCTAAGACTGAGGAGGAATTTAGAGAAATGAGGAACATACCCTATGCTAATGCTATAGGTTCCGTTATGTTCTCTATGATAACAACCAGGCCTGACTTAGCATATGCTATAAGTTTTTTGAGCAGATTTATGTCAAACCCAGGAAAGCCCCATTGGGTAGGTTTGAAATGGTTGTTAAGGTACATTGTTGGTACATTAAATCTGGGTCTAGTGTATGAAAAGAGATTTGAAAAATTTGCTCTAAAGGGGTATGTAGACTCTGATTTTGCTGGTGACAAGGATAACAGAAAGTCTACCACAGCGTACTTTTTTACACTAGGTGACAATTGTATAACATGGAAGTCACAGCTGCAGCTTTAGTTACTTTGTCAAGTACTGAGGCAGAGTATGTTGCCATAACTGAGGCGGTTAAAGAATGTACTTGGTTAAAAGGAATTTTAAAAGAATTGAACTTTAAGCATGATACACCTGTTATGTTTACTGATAGTCAAAGTACTTTATTGCTTTGTAAAAATCCTGTTTACCATGAAAGAACTAAACATATTAAGATAAAGTATCATTTTATTCGTGAGAAACTGTCTCAAGGTGAAGTTAAACTTGTTAAAATTCACACTGATAGGAATCCCTCTGATATGGGAACAAAAATTCTACCTGTAGGTAAATTTAAATTGTGCTTATCTTTATTACATATTGACACTGGTTAATTTTTCTTGCAGGTAGTGGACGATGGTGATGAACAGTTCTTCCATGTGCAAATTCGCAACCAAGAGAGAGTGTTAGGAGAACCAAGGTGAAGAATGTGAGAATATGGTTCACCTAACACCATCTATTCAGTTTTTGTGGACATTGGATGAAGATCGACGGCCGAGATTTAATCTTGGGAGAGATGTTGTGACTTGATGGTATTGATGTTGACACAATAAGGTCTTCCCACGTTTTTGGCAGAGGCATGGTCTTTACTTCCTTCCCCTTCTTATGTAACTCTCTCTGCCATTTCAAAGTGGAGCTCTCGATCAGGATCGATTTTCCAGCAAAGGGTGGTGGTTCTTCATTGGTTTTCCCATCTCTCTTGGAAGGTAATTTGCAAGTCATGGAAGGCTGTTCCTGAGCCTGAAAAACAGCCATTAGAAGGGAAGAAAGCTACTGCAAAGAAGGAGAAAAATCTGTCCAAATTCCGGCTGAACACAGGTTGTATTTTTCCATCCCTTTTTCATTGTTTTGCCTTAGAATTTCTTCTATTATTTGATGTTTTGGTTGATTGAACTCCTAGGATCCCCAACATATTTTTTACTTTTACTTCTTGTGAGAGTTTTTACAAAGAAAACTATTTTATAGCATCTTCCTTTTAAAATTGTTCTGGTCAAAGAAAGTGTTCTCAAAGAATTATTCAATCGTGTTAAAAAAAATAACTTCTTAGTTTTAGAAGTAATATTTGACTTTTCAAAAGCTTTGCTATAATATAATCATATTTAGCTTGAGAGTTAAAGGGTTTATTTGAGTTGAGTCCCAATTTCAGGGTTTATAGATTTTATAATAGTAATGTTTTTGAAAAATGAGTAGTCCCAACATCGCCCCAACACACTTTTAACTCAAATGTCAAACTGGGATATACAAAGTGGTCTTTTGGCTCTCAATCTCTCGATACGAAAATGGACGCGTTTCCTTTTCCATCATTTCTCGAAGGTCGTCTTTCCAAGTTTAGTAAGCTCACTTTTGACCTTAATTTCTGGTGTATGTGAAATTGCTTTTAAGCAACCAAATATAGCACAATGATCTTCCCAATTAGGAGAAAATTTTGCCTTAGAAGAAAAAAACAATTAACAAATCGCACTCAAAATGTATCAGTTATGTACATTGCGCAAACATACTGCTCAGAATTTATGTTCACATTCTAGAAAAAAGAACAGTGATTTATAAATTCAATCCACAAGAGTGTGATAGTTTAATTACAGAAAATGAAGAATAGAAAAAAGAGTATCATCCCCAAATTTGAACTCATTAGACCTCCAATCTTTTCTATGAACTCATTTTCTAAATCTAGCCGCCAATGGTTTCAAGCTGTTCAGTCTTCGGTTTTATGTCAAACGTGTCCTACTCAATGAGGGAAGTATGAATAACATCAACGACAAGGGAAAGAGTTGTGATTTTGCTAATGTCTTTTTGCACATTTAGTAGAAGATCAATATGAAGAAATATCTGGTATCACCTCAACCAAGTCCCTCTGTATAAATTGTTCATTTGTTTACGTTCTATAATGAGGAATACATTTCTCTTTTGATTGGAGGAAATGATCGTGTTTCCCATCAAGAAGGTGCAACACCTGCAGCCGAGTTCATGATGCCATAAGTAAAGGTAATATGAAGGATGCTGATATTATCAGGTTATAGTTCACCAGGAAGATATAAAAATAGCAGATGAGTTTGGAGGTGTTTGCTAAGCTTAAAAATGCTTCCAAGTAAAAAGGCAGATGTTTGTAGAATATTTTGATATCTGAAGAATGGTTTATATGCAATCCAGCGTGCTTACCAAACGTGCTGATATATGCGATATTACTATATACTGAAAGTCCGATATGATTAATATTTAAAGCATCATAAATTTACCTCTCCCATTGATGGACGCATCATAGGGTCTGTATGGACACACAAGGATGCTGTTCTAGCCATGTGATACGCTTCATACATCCTATATGAGTCCCCAAGACGAGGATCGATAAGTTTGTCTAATGCAAGCGGCTGAATCAGTGGTAATGCCTGAAACACCAGAAGACATATTCAGTACAAAAATATAAGATTATTTGCAAAACTAGCAACAGTTTGCAACGTGGTAATAGCACTTATTTCACGAGAAATACTACCAGACAACATACCCACTGTATAATGGATTGTTGGTGGTCGTCTCTTGGCGAATCCACTATTCGGCGTCCTGACATCAATTGTATCAGGACAATCCCAAATGCGTAAATATCTGTTTGTACAGAAACAATGCCATTCTTTGTGTAATCCGGAGCAATATATCTGCACAAGGTAAGAAATCTCAAGCTCAATTCACTAGAAGATCGACCACGCACTCCAAAGTTCCTATTTCAAGAAAAAATTTCTGGAATTCTTTTTCTGTAAATACAGAACCTAAACTCACCCTGGAGTGCCAAGAATTCGGGTTTGCATATCAACCTCATCTGTCTTCCATTTTGCAAGTCCACAATCTTGCAGCTATGCATCAGTAAAATGAATAAAATCAACGACATAATTGATCGCCTCTAAATTATTTGCAGGTCGGCATTTGAGATTATGCTATGGATAACCTTATAACTTGACCAGCAAAGATCTTAGACCTTTATAGGAGATTGTTTACAAGACTATCAAATTGGAAGAATAAATTGTATGAATGAATTAAATAAAGTGAATGAAAACATAGGATAATTGGACTGAGAAATAAAAATTTTACCATGGGAACAAAGTCATGTGTGAGCAATATCTGGCTAGGCCTCACGTCCAGATGAATGATAGGAAATCCCCGACACTCTTCGTGTAGATAACACAAACCTTGTGCAATCTCAATGGCAATAGCATGTCTCCGGCGCCACTCAAGAACACGATCCACATTATCTGTTTATAAATATATATGAGGATCAAATATGGTGAGAGATAGAGATAGATAGAGAAGGAATACATTTACCCCCTTATGACAAAGGATAAATAACTATAGAGATGTAAAAATTCTTATATGTACTAAATATTTTTACCAAATAAATGCCACTCGAGAGACTTATTCCAGATATATTCGTAGACCAATATGTTAGTGCTTTCCTTGCAACAATAACCAAGAAGCGTGACGATGTTCCTATGACGCACAAAGCTCAGTGCATTTACTTCAGAATGAAATTCTGCAGACCCTTGTATACTTGCTTCTTTTAGCACCTTTGCTGTAATAAGCTGCCCATCCTTAAGCTGACCTTTATAGGCAACACCATATCCACCTTCTCCGAGTAAATTATTAGATGAAAAATTATCTGTTGCAATCTTGATTTTGGAATAACTAAATCCAATTGAATTTAGCCCATTATTCATCCCATTAACAGTCGAAAGAACAGGCACAACAAAGGATCTCTGAGAACTTTCTTTGATCATCATTGGGGGAGAGACAGCATATTTATTTTTCCCTTCAGCATTGTTACCTAATGAAACTCATTCATTATTGAAGACTATATTAAATACATATTTATATACATTTATTTAAAAAAAAAAAACACACACACACACACACGCACACACACATGCACGTATATATACCTATTTCTTTGTAACAGATTAAGCTCTTAAATGAAATGATTCAAAATGGTACTAGAGCAGGAAGAGATCCCAAGTCCGAACATCAATGCCAGGCATTTTTGAAAACCGTGCACATATGATAAAAATGATGCAACATTATGCATGTGGGTGCGTGGGGGACATATTGACTAAGTGCATGTTGTGCTTATGAGGAGCTATATATATATAACTTAAATTCTTAGATGAGATGGTTTAACAATAATTACAAACATGTGCGACACAGAGATCAAGATGTGCTGCCACATGCGAATTTAGCCACGAGAGTTTGAGACCGAAGATTATGAAGGCATACAAGACAACCATTTTTTCTGCTACTTGCATGGTTTTAACCAAGAAAGAACATATACCACAATCTTTATAAACTAAATTCAAAGACACTAATAATTTTATTTTTGTCCTCGACGAAATGTTGAGAGTACTACCTAATAATTTTATTTATGGTGAAGAACTAGAAATGTCATATAAAGGACAAGCCTTTTGGGGGGTTATGACGCATGACACTGCTTCCAAGTGAAGTGCAAATAAAAGGAAAAAAAGAAGGGGATGAAAAAAAATTCTAAAAAAAAATTTCCTTCTGATAATGAAGTGCCAAATTAAATGTAAATTCATGAAAAGATGGTTGAGCTGATAAGTGAGAGTTCAAACACAAAATTTGAATAAGATGGTGAGGAAATGTCAAATCAAATGTATTTAAACATATAAAAAAAATTAAACCTGATTTATCTTGCTTAGTGTTGAAGATAGATTCATCTAGCGAATGAAATTCCACAACCTCGTGTGAAATTTCTTCCTTGGGGATCTTTGTGGGTGAATCAGAGGATCTCTGCGGACTTCTTTGTTTTTGCATTGATGGGAGAGAAACAACATACTTATTTTCAAGTTTAGCATCAGTGTTTGTTGAAATTATTTATTAAAGTTGGATACAAGTGAAAAGTAGAGATAGAGACTGAAGATCAAAGGGCATACGAGATGAGAAACTCTTTATGAAATTTAAACTTTTAAGCAAGAGAGTATCTAAATCAATGTAAATATACCAAATTCAAATACATCGACAATTTTACTTTTGTCATTAGTATTTAATACTTATCATTTTCTTTTTTTTTGACAAAGAACTGAAAAGTATCACAAGGGCACCACCCTCACAGAAATTTTCTGGCATAAGTTATGATATGACGTTATTTCAAGATAACATCCTCCTATGCATGTGAGTTTTATTGAATATTGATGACAAGATAATCCAGGAATGCAAAATGAAAAAGAGGTCAAAGTTTCTGTTAAGAATAAGTCATGAATAAATAAAAAGGTAGCATCTTTAATAACTTAAGTGATGAGGACATCTAGTTTGGACTATTTAGTTAGTATTTTATTTGGGCTTGTATTATGTTTTGGACTTGCCCAAGCCTTTTATTTTGTTTTTGGGCTTGTATCATTTATTGGGCTGGCCCAAGCCCTTTTATACTTTGTTTTGTATAAAAATATGCAGCCTTCTATGCATGGGGGCAGATTTGATGGCTGAATGAAATGAATTGAGTGTTGCAGACTTCCACCGCCCTCTCTTTTCTCCTTCTACTTCTTCATCTTTCCTCCCTGGTTTCTACTTCCCCCTCTCCTCCTATGTGACTGGTTCTGTGTTTGTGTTTATCTAATCCTACATCATTAAGCTTTTAAATGAATTGGTTCGACACTCTATTAGAAACGGGCAAACCCAATAAGAATGGATAGAGGTCTTGAGTTCAAATCCTACCAACAACCATTTACGAAAATGTTGCACATATTAGGACTTTAATAAGAGTAAATCTGGTCCATTTAGTAATGGGTGTACTGAAAACTATTATTAAAATGTTTTTAATCACTAACGTTGTAAATTTTTAGACAAATTTGTTCAAAACAAAAGGCAGTTTACCAAAAATTAACAACAGTTTCTTCCAACAATCAAGTGATAAAACGAAAGTTCTACTTAAAGGTCCATTTCAACTGAAAATTGACAGTTCAGACACAAATTAAAATCAAATAGAGCAAAAATGCCAAGTCAAGTATTCTTAACTATTGAACAATATTTGTAACCTGATTTTCCCGGCGTACTATTTCGGCTTGATTCATCTTGTGAGGAAAAGCTGTGATCATTAGAATTGGGTGTTAATGATATTGAGCTGTTCTTGGTCATATTAGAGCCGTCCAAGGTACTCATAGATAAGTAAGAATTGACAGAAATGATAGAATTGTCAATTGTCTCGTTATCTTGATCAGATAGTGGCTTGACAGGCTTGGATAGTGAGTAAAACAGCGTGTATTCAATATCTCCAACATCCTTATTAGAAGAATATGGCCTCAAAACCTCCAATGATAAGTCATCAAGGACCAGTGCCACCTTGCAAGGTGTGTTTTTAAGGTAATATTTCAATTCCTTTCTTAGGTGCCTGTCAATAGAAATTATCCGCTATCCCTCAAAAATATGTATGCACTTGAAGAATACAAATGAAACAATTAAAACATACCCATATTAAGGTAAGTGGAAAGTTCATTATTAACATCAACAATCTCATAGAATGAGCTTGATATTAAAATATTGATATTAAGAAAACAATATAGGCTAAGAAATTGGGACTGTGATCAAAGGAAACATGTATAATCTCGTTTCAGCTAAAGTGTACATGAAAATAAATTTTTCTTTGCTTTTTATATTTTGAAATGCCTAACATTTGATAACAATAAAATTGATACTGTTTCTCAAAACATTTTCTTATTTGAAAAAAATATAAAATCCTACACAAAGAAATAACTTCTAGTTATCTAAAGTTTTATAAAAACATGACATTCTCAGTCACTGTGAATATTTGAAATAATGTGCACGAAAGTAGGAAACATATTACTTGTATTCCAGACACAATTATGCAACAATTTTAAATTTTGTGAGAATTTCTCCCTAGTTACAAAATCTAAGCCAAATAAATGTATCTCATCCCAAATAGAACTTATGAACATATGAGTTAGTGGAGGAAAGTAAAACTATCATGAAGAGAAGTAGCATCTAACATTTTGGTGTCAAACTTTTATAATTATTCTGCTACTTTAAAATAAATTTATAAAACAAAAGCAACTTGCTATTCTAAATTAAGAGGATTAAACTGAAGTTAAAGTTAGGTTCAAATAGACAACACAAGATTCTATTTAACAAATTTTAATTTTCATGTCTACTCATCGATAGAGATTGGCATGGACCAGCAGGGAGACATAGTAAAGGAGGATAATTCAAATGGCTGTTCGTGATATGCATTAAGTGCATACTATTCACTGAAATCATATCCATTATCATCCATTCACATATTAGGATTTAGTGACACTTCAATTTAGCAAGATACTATTTTCAAGAAAATGCTTACAATATAAGAACAGAGAGCATAAAATCACTTTAGGACCTCATTTTATGACCTTTAATGTCATTAGGTCAATCAGATTTTTTCCCCCCCTCCCTTCTTTGTGAAATAAAACTGTGAATAAAGTCATTTTTCGGAAAAGAAAAAATTCCTCTATTTCCCTGTAAACAAAAGAAATAAATAAATGAAAACAAATGCGATCAACATATGTTAAAATCAAATGTTACCTATCAAGTACAATCCAGGTTGCATTGGAAGTTTTAACTTCTTTTGCGACGACCTTCTTCATTGGACCTCCAACAGTAATCTTTGCTTCAATTTCAACCTAAAAGTTAGAGATTATTATGGCTTAGTATTGAAAAGTAGAAAAGCAGAAAAGCATTTTGCGTTCTTTAAAAGAAATCATGATACTCATACAAGTACTCTCCAAGACGTGCTACAGATATCGCTTAGCTGTTTTGTACAACTTACAAGTGAGAAATGAGAAAAAGTATCCTCCCAAGCCGTGAAAAGGTTTGGCATAGAGTTTTTTAACTCATGTGCCATCAAAAGTAGAAGTTTTAAGGAACATTATTGTACATTACCTCATCAGCTTCACATTCTGCAGCACTATGATGGAGCATGCTCACATAAGAATCAATCTTTCTCGAGAATTCTTCTTCCATTGCACGGACATGTGTTCCAAAGAAAGGGCCGTGACCTATTTTCATTTCGTAACCCACTGTACACAAATACGAGTTAACAAAACTAAACACATAACGAAGTTAGAAAACTCTAAAAACGGATGACTGTAACTGATAAAAATGCAACAAACAAAAGACAGGTCCATAATTCTTCCTACCATATTCCTAATGATGTACGATTGCAGCATAAATATGTGTTTTGCCGTATATTGTCATGATGGTTATCTATAAATTTGAGATCTAAAAAGAATTGAATAGATCAAAATAATTCGACTAAGTGTAATCTAAGGGAAGAATATAGCAAGAAACTACATAGTATTAAGAAGCTACTTGTGTAATTTCATTTTGACACCAATAGTAAGTCAGTTATGAGCTGAGTTTAAGGTTGCTTAATCTTTTGACTCAATCTTGGTATTATAAATTCGCCAGAAGATTCTTAAATTTTCTCATTTATTATTCAAGATGCAACAGTACGAACTTTTGAATGAACTGTGCGCGAACTAAGGCCAAAGAATTACATTAAAGTTGTTCAATGCTTTCTCATTGTACGTACCAAACATACAATAATTGTTAGAACAGGATTTGTATGCACAGAATAAAAACCATAAACGGAAGAGGTTTTTAACTGTGCGAACTGCCACACACACACACACACACACACACACACACACACATACTGCAATACTTTGAGTAAAACTCACCAAAAAACTCCCTAAAAATACTGAAAAAATTTTCAAGTAACATTAAATGCATAAATAAACATAGACTTACTGGGGTGAAGGATTTTGTGTACTACCCCAAGAACCGTAATTTTATCCCCTACTTGAGTTATCCCACCTAGCATCCGAATATTACTAATCGTGTTCTTGAACTCCTGCTTATTGCGATCTTTTGTCGCATCACATGCGAACACGATGCACCCTGGCGTGTTAAGATTATCCCTGTCATTCTCACTTTTCTCCATGAATGACGATGTAAAAATCAGAAAAATCCAAGTCCCTGAAATTGCTGTAAATTGGAAACTTTTCTCCGTCTTCCTCTATCCGTGTTTTTGTTAAATTGTGCGTGTGAGAGAGGGAAAGGGGAGGAGAAGATTTGGAGGATATGCGATATATATAGGTAGGAAGTACGGCAGGAATAAGTGACACCCTCTATGCAACAAGGAGATAATAGCAAAGAAGCCGAAGATAAAATCAAGGGCTCCATTTTTTGGTGATTATGCTTCGGAATCTTGGCCCTTGGGCAACAAACACCTGCATAGGATTCTCAGAGGGAAAAAAAGGGTCTTGTTTTTCAAAGATCTGTGAAGAAAGAAATATTTCTGACTTTCCCTTCAAGTTTGAGGTTGTTCATAGTTTGGTACCTCAAGTTCTTTGTTTTCGCTTCTCTTTAAGATGAGAGTGAAGATAAACTACATTAACACTTTTTCATCTCTCAATTTGGTTGATTGTTTTTATCAAAAAAGTATGTTTCATTTTACAATGTGAAGTCTCATATCATGTGTGACTTATTTTTCAATGTTCGCCCTTTATTTAGATATTTTAGTCTTCACTTTAGGGACTTTATAAACAACTAAAGTGACAATTTTCATGATCATAATGCTACCTTTAAGTCGAGAGAGGACACAAAGTTAAAACTAATAAAACCAGAGGTATTTGAGGATCTAAATGTCCAAACAACTAATTTGTAACAATAGCGACAGATAGTGTTAGTTTGAGTTTGTCTCTCTTCTTTTCACCATATTCTATTATACTCTGCGTTGGTATTACCTATTTTTAAATTTTGCGCATAGTCTAAAAACTTAGTGATTTAGATGTTGCAACAATGAATGATCCAAAGCAACAAATACAAAAGTTCAAACGAAATTCTTGTTTTCAAAACAAAAGAGGAGTTGAAAATATAAAAACAAGAATGTTATGGAATTAAGGAATTGCCATAGACGAATGCACAAGGAACTAGGCCATATATGCTGTCAGTTTGATCATGTTTGTGAAGTTAGTCCTGTTCATCATATAAAACATGTCGTAAATGTCAAGAATCGGACATTAATGAGCACACGAGTTTTATTCATTCTATGAGGAGAAAAATTAAGACTCACCTGAGTTTGTACTAAAAAATTATATTGAAATCATTAAGTTATCCTAAGAATTAGATGTAGTCTACATACAAACTAGACATATCTCCCTGTCAACGAAGGGCTTAACATTTCATATATCTTTGCATTTGAATGCCAGCTGTTGGATCATAAATCAGATCCTCTTTCTTCTGATTATGTATATCTGCGGTGTATCTTCAAACTGTCCACAACTGACTATTTTCGTCCTGCAGAACTCGTTGCATTGTATTATTTGCAGTCCATCCATAAGTTGTTCAAGACATTGATCGAGCTACCTACTCGAATCTGGCTAAACGTTTCCATCTGATGAAGGGAGATGTCTCTCCTTTTCTACAGCCATAGAAGATGTAGTGACAGAATTTGTGCCTTTGGAAGGAACTGAAGACGGAGAAGGTAGCTTTTTAGGCAGCATTTGGTCCCAATGTACCTTAGGCACTCTTGATGCTTCTGATATGAAAATGAGTGCAAGAAAGCACAAGATTAGCCACTTGTAACTGCAAGAACCCGACATGACGATTACACCACCAAACCTATATGGGTCGAGTGTTTCGAAAACAAAGGGAGACAATTCAAATGTCAAAGCAGAAAGAGCCACCAGAGCTGACTGACACACGATCTAAAGTGGAAGGGAGACAAATCAAATGCCCGACCAAAGCTATCTGAGACGAGTGTTTCGATAGGAGGAGGAAGGGAGACAAATCAAATTCTTGCACGGAGTCTCTCTTTTAACTGCCAAGGATTGCTTTAGACATGATAAGCAATGTAAGAAGACTGCCAGTTCGTTTGCTTTAGGAAAGATGAAACAGTGGCAGACAATGTTCGTATATAATAATCATAAGCTGTTAGCTGTTTGTGGTGGTGTACTTGTAATCTTTACTCCCACTCGAAAAGATGTGTCTGGTAATAAAGTAAGTAATGGAATTATCCCATTAAATTGGCCCCCGTAGTGGTTGGAACTAATCCTTTTCAATTTGCAGGGAACAAATCTTTGGTGTCAGAATTAGTTAAAATACAAAAAACAGTAATATAAGTCAATATTTGCACAGACTTTTGCTTGTCAAGCAGGGCCAACTGACAGCCCTGTTGACAGAAACTCGGCCCTTGATTTGAATTCGGTGGACCCCATGTGATGCAAGATCGAGGGTCGCGGCCTTGCCAATTGGCCTTGATTATATAGCAGGTCTCGTTTGTACAACACTCTATTGAGATATTATCACTTTTACGCACATCTTCATTGCTAGAGTTGGGTTTTGTCAAACTTATCCTGTCCAATTTAGTACGATCAATCATTTATGTATCATCCTCATTTCTTCTATATTCATCCCCATATTTCTTAAACGCCGTCTTAATTCTACTTAACTAAAAAGTAAAATCTTTAAATTTCCAAGTACTCCAAATTAAAACATGTGAAAATTTGAAATGGCTTGTGCAAACCCATAAAAACACTACCATAAAAATTGTGATACAAAAAAAAAAAAAACCAAAAAAAAAAAAAAAAAAAAAAAAAAAAAAAAAAAAAAGGATTCTTCATATTCAATTAATCATGCAAACATGAGGAGAATAGAATTTAATAATTAGGAGAAACCAAAGAAGGGGGACAAGCCCCAGTTCAAAAGGGTAAAGTGTTGTTGAAGAAGTCCCAAAAGCAACTTGACCACTTTTTGTCTAGACTTTTTGCCAACACAGAAATTATTCAATGCACAAATAAAGATAATGAGTGCCAGTAGTGTGACTTAACAATATTCTTCGAGCAGCTCTTCCTTAAGTTCATGGGGCTGTCATGATGAAATCGGAATTGGAGAACTTATCACTATCTAATTGATTTTGTGATGACACCACATACTAGTTGTTTGAGCAATATTAAGTCGTGGAACCTAATTATTGTTGTTTATACATAGTTTGTACGCGGACCTATCTTAGGATTTTGTATCATAATCAAAGAAAGAGAGAGGTTACAGAAAATAGGGTATGCGATTTTTCTCTTGTAAACTTCTTTCATCATAGTGAATTACTGCAGTGGTAGACGAAAATGTAGACTTACATGGAGGCGTACTTTATAAATCTTATGTGTTCCTGTATATCGATTTCTTTATTGTGATTTTATTGTTTTTGATTGTATTGAATTAGGATTCTCATCAAGCGGTTAGGTCCATAATTGTTTACATTGAACCAACTCGTTTAAAAAATTAAATGGTCAGGAAAATTAACGAGAAATTTAGTTTATATTTATATCTTCAATATGTTCAAGCTTATTTCTTTCATCAAATGTCTTAAACTCGAGTCATCTTATATAAATGCTTATTATAATATTTATGTTACAATAAGTTTTGTAATTAGTTGAGGTTACAAGATTAGTCACCTTAACAATTTTTAAAATGGAAAGAGTTTAATATAGAGAAATACGGTTTGAAAGGCCAATTCAAGGTATTTCGCTACCTTGAAATCACAAGTTGAACCTAGATTTAAAACATTAGAATATAGACAAATTTATTTATTTTTTTGTAATTTTTTCGAGTATATGCACATTTAATTTATTTTTCATTAAAAGTGTGGTACATACATAATGCTTAAAATTCAAAATGGATGTTTCTTGTGCGAATCTCAGCAATCACTTGTTCTAATTCTAAAAAATATTGATCTTTTTGAACTAAAAGATATCTTTTGACTGAAGAAGAATTAGGCCAAAATTGGGAGACATTATGGGAAAATAAGACTTCCATCGAAGAGAAACAAATGAAAAGCTTTCGTAAAAAATTTCATATAATTTTTGAGAATACACTTGAGTTCTTGATCATGACCTACTACCATAACTTAGTAAATCACCTCATTAGAAATTTTTAAGGCGACAATAGCCATAACCAAGGTGTAAGTAGTCGACTACCCGATGTCATATTATATTTTTGATTGATTCAAGAAATAGCTTTTTTGTCTTTTTGCTTGCAAAAACGACGGTCCATTAATACATAAATCAAACTAGTTTCAAATAGGTCACAATCACATCATCAATTTTGTTGTGTTAATTTTCTAATGAAGTTATTCTTAAGTGCATTCCTTTTATGAGTTATATAATGTACACGCACGAATGCTTCATTTTTCTACCCTTTTCAGCCGAAAGCACTCAAATTAAGAAAAGAAAATTAAAAAATGAGGCAATGAAGAATGGAAAGAGTGGACTCTAAATTTAAAATTTTGTTCATTAAAAATTGGATAAATTAAATTATGGATAAATAAAATTATGATTGGGGAGCTTTTGTAGACAATATGGAGTTGGTCCATGGTGTCTTTCTCTCAATTGGGTGTTGAGGGNNNGTGGTGGGTGTGGTGGTGGTGGTGGGGGGGGGGGGGGGGGGGGGGGGGGGGGGTCGTTCCAAAGTTTTGTGTTCAAAGCATGCTATATATTTTGTAGATAAATATTTCAAATTTAAGTGTTTGGTGAAAGTTGACATTCTTGATATGACAAAAGCATGAAGTATGCGGGTACGCTATACATTAATCGTTGTCTATGTTTAATCTAATGTATTAAATAGATTTGTATTGGAAAGAAGCATGTAAGATGTCCTTGTTCGGTATAGTTTTTAGATCATTGATTAACCTAATTTTTTTTTATATCCTTATATTATTTTTTGATATACTTAAATTATATTTTTGAAACCTATATTTCTCTTTCAGTTGGACTCATTTCTTATGCAATTTTAGATTTTAATAGGAACCCAAGCCATCAAAAAATTCAAGGAAACAAATTTTTTTCGCGTTCTAAAGGCGTATTAATACAATTAATAAATAATCAAATTCATTTTAAATGACATTTTCACTAGTGATTCATAATATATTCCAATGTATTACCAAGGTAATGATGACCTGTAAGGGGCTGGAGTTCGAGGACTTGGAATTGGTTGTTCCAGGCGACGATGATGTCACCTGTGGCAAGTGTATCAAATTGATAGGGTGCTGTGACAAGTGGTAATCATGATATTTTTCTGAGATAACAGTGGGTCCAACCTGAGAGTATAGGCTGAACTTACATTTAACTGAGGTGGGATTAGCGAACTGTTTTTATTAGGTCGGAGTTTGGATGTCAACAGTTACCTCCCAAGTCAGCTCTACTGTAGGGAGGCTGACCTCAGTGATGCTTTCTCCAAGAAGTACATTCATTGCTGTGACAAGTGTCATCTTTTGATGTGGATGAGTTGTACGCCATTTATAAGTAGCTTTTTCAGCAAGCTTGGCTAAAACTACGTCGTTTTGACTCTCTGGCT